AAATAAATAAATAAAATTAAATAAAAGACAATTTTTTTTACAGAAAGCTTTTTGCACAATAAAGTTTCGCGATATTGTTCAATAAAATTAAATTAATAAGTTATTTATTTATGTTTAAAAATAAAAATAAAAATATCCAATATTATTCTTTTGATTATTTATTGTTATACATTACATAAAATCATTATAAATTGAGAAATTATTTAAAGTTATACACTGTTTAACAATAACAATTATGAATTAACTTAACGTTCTAAATTTTAAAAACGTTTTTAAAATTAATCTTTGAAGGTATTTAATATTTTTAATTTTAAATTAATTTAGAATTCTAAAAGAATTTTAAATATTTTTCTTTGTTTAAGATTTATAAGTTTACAATTAGATTTATCATATGATTTATAATGAAAGTTTATAATATAGTTTATTATACGTTATATCGGGAAAACCTTGATATAGTGGTTATTCGGATTAACGGATATTTCATTATATAACACAAATATTATTCATTGTGATAAAAAGAAATATTCCGAATAAAAAAGCATTTATAAGCGAAACTCTTGAATACTTTATACAGTTGAACCTCCAATAATGACCTTCTCTAAACGGCAACCATTTTTTTTTCGGGAATGATTCTTTTTGAAATGTACTGTATGTAAAATAACTTCCAAACAACGTCCATTTTAATAAACATAGTCCTATCAGCGGCCATAGTTCAAAGGTTTGACAGTATATTTAAATGTATCTATTAAATTACGGTGTCTTCATAGCGAATTCGAATGTTCATTGTTCTTGATATAGTGCAAAATTTTTCATTGTATGCATAATGTATTTAATAGTACAAATCATATGTTTAACATCTTATCTAAGCACATTTTTACAATAGATTCTCATGCTTGAATCAATTGCAAGTTCTAAAATTCGCAATCAAAAGACATTCGAGAGTTCCTTAACTTCTGTTGTGATAGTTCATGACATAAAGTTTATTGCTACTGAATTTATCGTAACTACCGTATAATCAACTAGTTATTTATTATAGTAATTGAAAATAATAAAATTGGATTTGTAAAACATTGTTTCAAACATACGTATGTTCAACTTCTCTCAACAATGAACAATAAAGTTACACATTGTTATGGTTAAAGGTTTGGATCGTACTTACAAATTTTAAAATATTGTAGCTAACATGTGGAAAAATTAATTTATATCTCTGCCAGAACATTATCTAATCATTATTTTAAAAATAGGTTCATAAAACAACATTAAAACAAAATCGTATTTAATGTTAATGTAAATATTCTCCTACTCTTTCGCTAAAACAACGGATTTCCTCAGATATTTAAATCATAGTACGATTTTTTGCTCTTTAGAACAGAACTTAATATATAATTAAAACGAAGGGTTTAAATTTGTTGCTATGACAACCATATTTTTCTAAAATGACATCATCTTATAGTATACTATAGCCTATAAGAAGTAACTTAGCATGAAGCCTAGCAATGAAAAAATCTTAGTGTTTTATAATAAATTATAAATTAATTTTTACAAACAGTATTGCTTTTATTTATTAGTTATTTTATTTTAAAAAATTGAATGTTTTTAATTGTTTGTGTAATCTTCTTCATATCGGACACACGGTATATTTATAAAAATTTAAAAAGAAGAATATTTATACGGTAAATATTACAGTTCTGAAGTTCTTTCAAGCTTTTTATGAATACTACACATTATATATATTTATCAAGTAGTGTTAGATAAATAAAAGTGTAAGCTGTTTTTAACGTTAAAAGACTAAAATTATCCACATAAATAACGCGGTTCTCTAACTTCTAGTCACACAAAGTTCACTATAATACAAATCTTGTTAGAACGAATTCATTTGTTACTCTTGGATTATCTTTTTCAACACTTTGTGGTCAAAATGTCATAAAATAAAAAGAGTAGGAAATACATTTTGGCAAGATTTGCGTTATAGTGAACTTTGTTTTTTTTCTTTCTTCTGTAACTTGAATCATTTCATATAGTGTCTGTGCGTTTGATGAGCTTTCTCCACTGTATTCGATAGTTTTTCCTTAACCCATTTTTCTTCGTGTTCACTTCAACTATATCCATCCACTTAATTCTTAGTCTTCCATCTTCATATATTGCCTTCCGAGATAACTTTCACTCCTTTCAATGGCATTGCCTTTCCTTGTATTGTAGTTGCAATATCAGATACAGTAAGCGCAACTTTCCCCTTCAACTTGACTGGTATCTTCCTATCTCACAACACTCCGGATTTCCTTTCAATTCTTCTGTCTGGCTTGGATTCAGCCATTCATTTCTCTTTCCATATCTCCGTCCTCATTCATAGTGAGCCAAGCTATCTGAAGCAGTACATTCCCTTGATTCTCTCTCCTTCTAGAGTTAGGTTTTAATCTTTCTTTATTTCCTGTTACAGCGCATGTTTCGTTCTTGCTAACTTTAATTAAAACTATTAATTTTTAATAAGTTACAGCAATTATTTAGATACAGTCTGTTCAATAATAATAGAATATGCACTTAATATTTGTTAAGTAATTTGTCATTTACATTATCAAAAATAGAACGTAGCATCAGAAATGTCTCTTTCATTATTATATGCAAATTAGTTATAATTGGGTGACTCTATTCGTATATACAAAGGGACAATACTATTAAAATAGTTTTATTTACACTTTATAGACATATATAAACTAAATATAAGAAGAATGAATGAGTTCAGGAAAAGACCTCACTGAATAAGAGGTTAAAATTGAAGCATTTTATAAATGTGGGAAGATTATATCTTGGATTTCAAAAGAATTGGGAATATATCGTTCAACCGTGTCAAAATACATCAATCATTAAGATCAAAAAACAGGAAAATAGTAATGAACGAAAGATGTCGACTTTTTCAACAGATACGAGAGAAATAGCTCGAAGAGTTGTTAAAAAGAATACATTAACTAGAAACATAAAACGCAAATTACACCTAAAATGCTTAAAATCAACAATTTGCAATGTTTAATGTGTAAAAGAAAACGTGTTCGTCAAAATAAAGCCATCTCACTCTCTGCTACACTACTTCTCACTTTAAGCAACATCATAAACAACAGTGGCTTCAGTTTGCCCGAGGAAGAGGAGAAGGATAAGGGTGTAATGATAATATTTTCAGACAAAAAAAAAAGTAGACTTTGTGTAAACCAGATATTTAAAAATATTGGACAAACAAAAGATTAGATGCAAAACAATAATCAAAACGAGTTGCTGGTGGAAGAACACTGATGATTTGGATCGAATGGAATGAAATAACTAATATCTTCTTTCTTGAAGGTCGAAATAACTCAGAAACGTATCATAAACTCGTTAGGACACAGTTACAAGTCTACAATCATATAATTGCTGGTGCTTTAAATTTCAGCAGGATAATGCCAGTTACTAATGTAGCCATACCAACTCTAGACTTTTTCAGGGGCAAGAAATGTTTAAAATGTTTACATTCAGATCAGATTAAAATCCATTGAGAATCTATGGGAAGACCTAATTTTTTTAGATTTATGAAAATGGATGCTAATACAAATCAGTTGCTGAACTGAAGTCAAGAAAACTAAATTGTTCTGTTATTGGACAGATTGTAAAATAATTTATGTTTTGATATTAAATCAAAACATTTTTAAACATCATATAAAATGTTTACACGATTTCTTCTTAAAGTACTGTACATATTTGTTATTTTATATCATGAAAATGACGCAATAAACAATAATAATAATAATTAGGCTATAAATTTCATTTATAATAGAACTATTACACTATATAAAACATTAAATAATATCTGGATAATGTAACAAGAATATTTATTTATTTTTTTGTAAAATAAAAATTCTAGTTATGAATTAATAAATTTTTATAGCCCTAAAAATATATTATTGAGTACTTAATAATAAATAATGTGATACACAGACAATGTACGTGTACAAGTGTTAAAATGTTATTTATTTTACTAGAAAGCAATGAATATAATAAAAAATGGAAGGATTTTATACTATCTTTTGTCATTCACACAGTAAATATATGTAATTAATATTCGTCCTTTATTAACTGCAGAAGTTCAGTAGATAAAACATAACATTTTAAGAAGGAAATATGTTTATATATTTCGTAATCAAGTATCAAATAGTATCATAAAGGAGTAGGAGATTATTGTTTATAATAGAGAATAGACTCAATGACCCAATGCCGCCTTTGTTATGTTAATGTTTCCTAGTGATCTAAAAGCAATAAATAAACAATGTAATATTGTCCAATAGATCTAAAACTATTTGAAAAATAATTATATAGAATCTATTGTTAATGTTAAAAATATATAAAATTGTTTCATTCAAATTCGGAGTGAAACTATTTGCTATTTATTATGCATACTTTAAAACAGAATAGCATTATTCAATTATATTTTTTAATTGATTTTTTAAAATTATTTAATAATTGTGAGTAATGCCAATAAAAAATAGTCGTACAAACTATATAATTATACAGTTTATACAGCTATTTTTTAGTTCTATAAGTCTACATTTGACGAATCCTAACTAAAAAAGACGTTCTGTTGGAATCAGGATTCGTCAAAATGTGGACTTATATTTTTTTTAGTTCTATAATTAAACAATTTTTAACAAAGTAAACGTTGTTCTTTACCTGTAAATTTGAAAAATAAATCGTTAATTTTTATATTTTACATTATATAAATGTATGCTTTTAATATTTTTAACTAAAAATGTAAATGAAATTGTTCTTTTCTACATAATCTACATTTCTAGAGAACAATATAATTAGATTAATAGAGAACTTATTAATTAGATAATTATTTCAATTTGAGATTATTTTGAAAAAATTCTTAAATAATTAAGTTATATAAAGCAGGAGATGATGTAAATATTTAATTTTCTCAATATTCCCAGATTTTTTATTTTTGAAATAAATTAAAATATGCAAATTGTAGTCCTCAATGAACTTTATTTAAATCCAGTATTTCTAACAGGTCTTATGTTAACGCATAATTTTATGCAAGGTTAAGTCCTTTTTCTTGTGTGTAACTAACAAGTAAGTGGAACTTTCTAGTTCGTGCCTATAGGCAGAGTAACACTTTTTGAAATAAGGTAAGATCTATTTTCAAGGCACTCAATAAGTGGAACTTGTTTAATGCACCCTCTATACATTCTGGTTTTGTCAAAGTAATAACAGGTTTTGAAAAGGTCACGACCTCTTACGCGACCTTTCTGGAAGAAGAAAAAAATATGGCTTTACTCGTTGTTCGAGCTTCTGTTCGAGTTTTCTTAAATTTTATATAATTTAAGAAAGCTCGAACAACGAGTAAAGCCATATTTTTCGGAACGGAAGCTCGAACAACGAGTAAAGCCATATTTTTCATATAATTTGATTTCATTTTACGAATCAAACTATACAATTTTTATGAATTCTACACTTCTATCTTATTCTATATCATTTTTTTATCTGTGTTTTAATTATCTGAATCTAAAAGGTACCCATATAGAAAAATTTTAAATATTCTGCTGTTAATTTTGTGTGTAATTCTATCATAGACTTTTTAAAAGCTTTTAGTCCGTTTATAACGCAATAAATTTTGAAATTTATAACACCTTTTAATATAGAAATTAGTACTAAAACTTTAAGATAATTCTTGCTTCAGAAAATTATTTAAATTCTGAATTTCTATGTAATTTTATAGACACAAACATAAATTTTTTCGAACGAAAATACTTTTTATGGTCACGGTTATTGAGGTTTATTAATTTATATTTAATTTTAGTTTATAATAAAATAATAAAAGTATGCATAATTATTTTTGTTAGTTTGTTATTTCAACGAAATGTTTGAATTTAGGAAAAATTTGAAGACTTTATTGACAACAATCCATGCTTCTGTTGTCTCTCTTCTGCTAATTCTAACGGAAAGTTATCTTCTTTATTTTGAGAATGTTGAGATATTCCAGGGTTTGTCTTGGGTAGCATTTGTCTTTTAAGTGGAATCTCTTGGAATTTTTGTTTTTCATAAAACTTCATTCTTTCTTTTCTCTTTCCTCGTGCCATCAAGGCTTGTAGTACTGTAATAATAATAATAATAATTGCTATTATTATAATACATATGATTTTCATACAGTTGAGAATGATTTGAAAAATTTCACATCTTCTATTGAACTCAATAGATTTATGGCTAAATTAAAAATGAATATCTTAATTTCTCTCTATATATATTTTTTGATTTTTAAGTGTTATTATAATTTACTTATCTTTATTTTTTTTTACTTTTTATGGGAATAATAATAATGGTTTGAATTTGTTTTTATTTTATGAAACCTAGTAGCCTATATTTCTTTAGTTTTAACTTCTATAAGCGTTAATTTTTTTTTATATTAAATTTCACCTCTCAAACTATTAAACTTGAAACAGGTTTTGATTAAGATCATATCGAATTAATAATATGAAACTATACTAAATAGAAAATATAGCCTATAGTAATCTATTTTTATGTAAGCAAAGAAAAAAAACTATTTCATTGAACTTGTATGAAATAGGATTTTTAAAATTCTTTTCGTCGCATTTGACAAATTATAAAATCACATTTACGTAAAAATAAATAATATTACGAATATAGTAATTAATAAAAAAATATAATTTTCATGTTTAGGAATCATTTTAGAAACTATATAATTCATCTTCATGCTTAAAAGGTTATTGTGTACTGGAATAAAATTGCCTTAAGGAGCAAAGAGCAAGGTCAACAATTAATATCATTTTTCTCTATATCATCTCCCCAAAGTTATAAAAAATAATTTGTATCTTCTTTTTTTTTTATCTAACCGCATTTGTAAATTATGTAATAATTTTACATTATTTACTACACGATCATTTTACTGCTAATTAACTTCAACATCATAAGTTAACATATGCATTTTCTACTGCTAACAACTTCGTGTTGTTGAAAGCATCATGCATTATAATACACACAACAGATGGATTGATTTCAATATTTTCTTGAAGTTTATTCATTAAAACAATTTATTAATTGTATTATAATAATATATTTATATATTGTCGTTAAACAATTTAAAATGTTTTAATGGTAATATCGATTATTAAAAGCTATACAAGTTGTGTTTTAAAGTGAAGTTTGTATGTTTACAATCGATTCATTTTCTCAAATTTACTTTTAAATGTTTATAAAATTACTTAATTAAATCGGTTTTTAAATTTTAATTGAGATTTAATTGTTATTTATAAAATTTTATTATAAAAAAATTAAATAAAGGTAAAATTTACATATAAAAACTATGAGATAGGATGAATTTATTGTTGAAAATGATGCAAATAAACGATTCGAAATACAAATCTTTAATCATGTGAATCCACCGTCATCATTTCATGATGATAACATTTACTAAATATGTGTTAGAACATATTAATTTTATAAAATCTATACTTTTGCATACGTTAAACCATTCATTCCGAATTTTTTTTTATACCGTCTTTTAACATCTACTTTGAACGTTGAATTGCAAATGATAAATCTAATGATAATCAAATTGTAATTACAAATAGATTTATAAAATAGATAAAGATAAGAAATGTAATATTACCAAATGAATGTTGTTAACGGCGCCAATTCTTTGTTAGACCACCCAGAGGGCAATTCATAGATCCCATTTGATGATGATCTGAAATGCGTTCGATCAGACAGACGGCCATCTTACTTGAGGCAATATCGGTGGTTATATGAATGGGGGGCCTCTTTAACAAAACAACTAGTTTCAAAACTAAGATGACAGTATTGATAGATTCCAGTAATTTCAACATTTTTTCGGCTTTTAATTCAATGCTTACTTCTTGGAATATGTTAAAATATTTTTAATATTTAAAATAATTATTTTACTTTATTTTTGGAATTTCAAAAAGTTTCAAATCTCTTTTGAATATATTAATTTAATAAGTGAATATAAATTTACATTTATTCATAACTTTTTTATTGGCATATTCCATAAAACATGAATTGCAGTTTTATAGATTAAAAAAAATAAAGGTTTTTAAATAGCATTTGTCTTTTAGAAAGATAAATAAAAGGTTCAAAATTATACAATAATATAAAAGAATTTTAATGTAGAGGGTGGCCTTATTCCTTACGTTCAGTTTACAATTTATATTTAAAATATACTGTACTGTACCTTTTTAAACTGATTTCCACTCAGTATATAAAGTACAGTACTGTAAGTACATCTGTAATATAGGCCCTATATATATGCATAAAACAGTATATACATTACCATATAATTCAAAATTTACATAACTTTTAAGCATACAATATTAAGAAATGTTTAATTTTATAAACCAGTTAAAATCTATAAAATTAAAGCATTGAAATGAATAAATTATAATTTTAAATACACGAAATTGAATAAATGATCTGCTTCAAATAGTTAAATCTTACAGAATTGAAGATAAATTTCTGTATTAATCGAAAATATCAGTTTTAGATATAAGTAAAGATAATATGTTGCAATCCAAATCAGATCAATTACTCAGAAGATGGATCATCTGAAAACGAATCACATAATTGTCGAAGTGCAGTAATTAGGACTTCAGAATATATGCTTCATCTATCTTATTATACAATTGCAAAAAAATAAAATCAATTGAAAAATGATAATAAATAAAATTAAATCAAATTCGCGACCACACGCAATTACACATTGAAAAAAAAAAAGAAAACCCATCAGATTAACTGTACTCTAGATAAAAAAATACTTAATTTATATTTAAATTATTTAAGAAATTTATTGTTTAATTACATTATAAACTTGTTTAGAAAATAAATATTTTTCTACCTAATTCTTGTAAAATGTTTGAATTAATTAAGCCTTTTTTTCCTCTCTCTCTCTCTCTCTCTCTCTCTCTCTCTTAAGAAAAGTAGCTTATTTCAATTAGAAATTAGAAAAATTTCTAATTAAAATATTTTTTTTAATAAGGAAACTCCTTAAATATTTAAAAATATTTACTTATTTATTCATAATATTAGAGAAAATATAATTATAAATTTTCCATATAAAATATAAGCTAACTTGAAATTTAATGTTAAAAATCGAAATAAAAATATTTATTTTACAAAATTTTAAAGGAATTTCATTAAGTTTAAGCTTATATAATTGATGAAATCTGTTATTTAAATGATATAATCTGATGAGTAAACGATGGCAACATCAAATTAAATCTGGAGAGTTTGTAAGACGAATTTATAGTTAGTTCATTAAAAGATATAATTAAATAAAAGAGGGCATGATGCCCAGAGTTTTCTTTGGCAAGAGATTCTGATGACTTGATGGATTAGACGGTTTTTGTGGGTTGATATACGATCCAAGGATCATCACTGACAAAATGAGACAAGAGTGATAATCTGCAGAACTGGGAATCTCTGTTCTCTGCCAGTAAATTACTTGCCATTTATCATTTAACTTTTTTAAAACATATAAAATCTAATTAATTTTAGATTATAATTTATTACAAAGTATAAATATTAAAAATAATTTTAGAATTTTTTTTGTGTGTGTAATTATAATGTAGATTATGCAGAAAAATAAACTTATTAAAGCTTTAGTTCTGAACAGTTGTATTAAATATGAAACGATGTAATGTTGTAAAATAAAATAAATTTTGTTTATTTTAATAAAAGTCGTCTAATTTTAAATAAAATATAATTAATTTTACTTCATTAAGACTTGTAAAAGTTTTGCATAAAAGCCTTGTAAGCCTTGAAATTAGAATAGTTTGAAGAATGCGTACGTACTAAATGAAATATTATACGTAATTTCAACTTATATTTTTATCTTTTGCATTTTATAATTAGTTTTGAATGACTATTAGATTAATTATTTATGATTTAGAAAGTTCATTAATTCGTTATTCGAAGTGTACTGAAAAACTATACTTAACTTTCTTATATTATAGTTTCAATGGAGTTAATTTTAAAGAAGCATTGTTTTCAAATGAACTATTATGTGTAGTTAATTCCAAAAATAATTCAATTCAGTTGGTACTACGCGTGCCTTCTGTAACTTCGTACTAAAAAAAGAAAACTAAAATCTCAATTGGTATGAATATAGGTTACAGTTTGATAAATTTCTTCATATAATCTCAAAAATGATTAATGAATAACTATCAGTAGAAAATAATATCAATTACATTTTTTAAAGGTATGTTTGTAATACATCATAAAGATTCGATACAGTTTAAACTGCTTTTAAAAAAAAGGACAAAAAATTCAGAAGAAATTCCATAATAAAACATGTTCTGTTTGCAAACCTATCAACTGAGTGGTATCTTCATTTAAAAACCATAAGGAAGGACTCTTAACTAATCAAGATATAGACTTATAAGTCTTTGTTACGCCTTAGGGATGGAATTTCTTCTTAAAAAAGCAATTTTAATGGTATCCAGGGCCCGACCTATAGTTACATATCATTTGTGCTGATTCGTGGGTTTAAATGGATAGATGTCTCCTCGAGATAAGTTGTCTTTCCATTCTAGTGTAGAATGGTGTCGATCATTAATCAAAAGTACAAAATAGCATCTAATTGTAGACAGGATTGGCCTAACAAGTGTACCATCTCCAGTAGAATAGAAGTCTTAATCTTTCCTCAATGGTTTCTTTGTTTTCTTCTTCCTTCAACTACTGTACTTTGTTTGTTTTGGCAAAACATTAGCAAGCTTATACTATAATTTTTTTTCCTTTTTTAAATATTATATTTTGCTTCGTATTTCTTTAAATGTGTTAATTTAGTTTTTACTTCAAAAAAGTCCTCCTATAATGATAAAAACACTTTGTATAAAAAGATCTTCAGAAGTAGTTCTTCTGAAGATCTTTTTATACAAAGAATTTAACTTTTATAAAATATAATATTTAACTGTAAATTATTTAAAAAGTTTCTAAAACTTTATAAATAATTATGAATGTAGTTTTTATATTAAATCGATGAGATAGGCCTATATTAAATGAGATGTAGACACCAACTAGTCTCATGAATTAATTAATGAATTAATAATATTTTGAAGTTAATCATTCAAATTTATATTTAAAAATACAGAATATTTTATTTTTATTATATTTTAAAATTAACATAATATTAAGTTTAAGAGCTTATAATGTTAGAATTTCTCAACTAAATTGCTTATATTACAGTAATTTTATTATAAAACTTCATAATTATATAAACATTAATTTTAATTATAAATCTCTACATTAAATAATCAAATTCTTAGTAATTTCTATTCTTAGATAACTTCGATAAATTCAATTTTTATTCAAAAGAATTTGTAAATTAAGCCCTAAATGATTTGAAATTGGAAAATATCTAAATCAAAAATCATTATTTTAAAATAATGTCTTAATTTTATAAAATAAAGGTAGCCTATAGGCATAGAAACGCTTCTTTATATCATATTCCTTATACGTCAAGATAGATCAAATCGATTTAAGATCATCAACCGAACAGGTGTAAGTGTAAGATTAATGAGGTGTCAGATAACTTGGCTTGTAAATGCTCCACTTATCTGTTTTTCTATCTCAGAAAAGAAGAGCTCTGTTAAAATTGATGTGACTGTCATTGCCTATGGGCACGACACCACATGCAACAACTTTGCCATCAACAGATTCATTGTGAGAAAGTTTTCAAACTTAGAAAGATCTACCTAAACACGAAAGCAATGCATTGTTTTCATTAAACTTTATGTTATTTATTTATTTATTTATATCAAGAACTTATAGTCTTAAGTTATAGATAATTGTTAATTGTGATATAGAAAGAACACAATGAATAGCAATATAGGCCTACAATTTAAGAATGTAACCTATATCTAAAATATAGATAACATTTTAACGAATTTGTAACAGTTTACAGAAAAACTAAACTTTATTTCCGTGCTTGAAGTAGTTAAAACAATTCTGAACATAAATATAAGAGATTACTCAATAAAATATGGACGTATCCTATTGCTGCAGCACCCTATAATTTACAACCCAATAAAAGATACTATGGTCAAAACATTTTTATAAATAGACCTACCATTTTTCATCTGTAAAATTTCAATGCAAAATGATATAATACGTGAATGATTTCTCGAATTACAATTATTAATAGGTCTTTTCATTTCGAATTCAGTTCTGGAATCAAAGTATTGAATCTCTTAGTAGTTTATATGAAAAATTATAATAAAGAATATACATAAAATACATTAAAAGTTTATTAAAATTAATCAAAAATTATGAAATAAAATTGAATCTTTTAGTTTAATTAAATCATATTTTTCAATACTATATTGATTAGCGCTAAATATCTAGCCTATTAACTTATATAGAATAAACTCATTTAATCAATATTAAAGACTTATAAAAACTGTTATTTTAATTAAGTTCCTTATCGGAAGAACTTAAATTAAATTAAATTATGAAAATTACGTAAATTAATTTTTATTATTAATTAAAAACTACATTATCATTTGCTGATTAACAGAAAAAAAAACTGCATTCCAGTAAATGCCCCTTTTCAGTTTCGTGATTTTATTTCATTATTTTTTTTGTAATTTTAGTCTAAAGGTGTGTCGATTTTGCCTTAATTACGTTTCATAATTAAACTGAAATGCTTAAAAAGCGTCATATTATTAAAAATAAATGAATGCAAAAACAGTTATAATAATAGCCTAATTAATGGAATAATTCCCTGTAGAAGGAAGTATGAAAACTTCGAGAAATCTCCTGAAAATGTCTATAAGTGACTCAATTTTTTTCTACAAAATATTCTCCATCTTGAACATAAAAAACAGTTATTTTTCACGTATAAAAGTCTATGTATTGTAAAGTTGAATTGTATAGGCCCTATAAACTTCGATTTAGCTCCAACGTGTTCGCCTCTGAAATTGGCACTAAATTGAATATTCGCTAAATTTAAATACCTCAAATAATATAGTAATGAGATCTAATCAAAAGCTTGAGTTTAAGAGTATTAAAGTCATGAAATTTGGCAATGATAATATCATTTTCAATACAAAATCGTACATTTAGTAATTCAAAAAATGTTCTATTTATAGAAAAGATCCATTCGCAAATACTCATTTAAGTTAATAACTTACTTATTTTAGGTTAAGTTAATAAGATTCAGAAACTTTCATAACGTCCCTTACTTGCATTGTTACAAGTAGTAGCCTATCTATGAATTATTTATAAATTTTACGCATAAATAATGTATATATATATATATTTTAAAATATAATATTTTATAAATTGTTAACAATGGCGCCAGACAAGGACAATGTATAGATAGTTAAATCACAATAAATTCTCTTAATCTAAATTTTTTACGTGAATTTTTAAAGTAAAATTTTAAATTTAAACAACTTAAACGTAATAATTTCTTATATTTTATAAAATTAATTTAAAAAAAAAATTGGTAGAAGATAATCCCGAACAAGAACAATTAGTCTCAATAAATTGCTAATAACTGAGTATGTGAAATTTCATTTGTTTTTTTACGTTTATATTTCAAATACATTTTAACTTAAACAATTAAAAAACAATTGCAGTAACTCATTTCGATCATATTGTAATGTACTGTACATCAATTATGCGAGCGTTTTGGAAACTTTGCCTTGAAAATTAAAAAAAAGGGAGTAAAAGTATTTAAAAAAAATTAATTTCCAGAAATTATTTTAAAAATATGACGTACATTAAGTGTAAACTTAAAAAAATTCCCATCGATTTAATCTCTAATAGCTCATTTCAAATTCAATCACAACAATCATATAAGACATAAATGCACTTAAATGCGTATTTATGACAGGAAATGATGTTATAAAAACCTATCAAAATTCTTATCTGATAAATCCACAGTTCATATTGCATTGTTCAAGTTGATCATATGACTTTTATGTTTATAAATTATTTTTAAATCTTTAGATATGAATCAGGTTATAATCATTACTACCGAATTACTTTTTACGAATACTTTTAAATACGTATAGACTTATTTTAAATTAAATAATAATAATTTCAAAGTCATTTTTTTAAAGGAATTTTAAAGTACAGTACTGGTAACTGTTTAAATTTATTATCGAATTATATGAGATAAATTCATTCTTCATCTACAGTAAAGGATATAAAGGAACTTGAGCTCTACTAGATTTTCGTGAAAAAAAAATATTAAGCATTAAAATAATATTTTAGTAGAATAATCTATTAAGTAAAAGTATTAAAAATATTTCTGAGTCAATCTAATTATTAAATATTTTTCTTTTATTTTTCAAATATCTTAACTACTCTCTCTTTGCGTATATTTTAACAATTTTCTAGATCAAATTCTAGATTTTTACGTGTAAATCTTGGGCTAAAAGTGAATTAAAAATAATAGAAAATGAAATTTTAAGGCGTTTAATTGAAAAATATTTTTTCCAATGAATTTTTTTTATATGAAAACTAGGCTAAAAGTTGGGGAAATGGTAAATTTTAACGAATTTTTGAAGAAAACTACGACGTTCGACGTTCGATAATTAGGAATGAAGTAAGATCCACGTTTTTTATACTATTCTTGATAACTTTAATACATGGTCTTTACATGATAGACTACTTGTGTAGCGAATGATTTGTTTTATAATTATTTATTTTGAATTTTTGCATATTCTGAAGTATCTTTTGATATTTTCATATTGACGATTTATCCGTTGATTTTGTATGAGATTTTTATGCAAATATTGGTTACTAAGTTACAGTCGACCCCCTATAACACTGTTGATAATTCCGTTTTATATGAATTCCATGTTGTACGAGTCACTTAGATTTTACAAATATGTGTGTAGGGCTGTGAACGGCTCATGTATTCGTAAAATCTAAGTGACTCGTACAACATGGAATTCACATAAAACGGAATTATCAACAGTGTTATAGGGGGGTCGACTGNAATCCCGAACAAGAACAATTAGTCTCAATAAATTGCTAATAACTGAGTATGTGAAATTTCATTTGTTTTTTTACGTTTATATTTCAAATACATTTTAACTTAAACAATTAAAAAACAATTGCAGTAACTCATTTCGATCATATTGTAATGTACTGTACATCAATTATGCGAGCGTTTTGGAAACTTTGCCTTGAAAATTAAAAAAAAGGGAGTAAATGTATTTAAAAAAAATTAATTTCCAGAAATTATTTTAAAAATATGACGTACATTAAGTGTAAACTTAAAAAAATTCCCATCGATTTAATCTCTAATAGCTCATTTCAAATTCAATCACAACAATCATATAAGACATAAATGCACTTAAATGCGTATTTATGACAGGAAATGATGTTATAAAAACCTATCAAAATTCTTATCTGATAAATCCACAGTTCATATTGCATTGTTCAAGTTGATCATATGACTTTTATGTTTATAAATTATTTTTAAATCTTTAGATATGAATCAGGTTATAATCATTACTACCGAATTACTTTTTACGAATACTTTTAAATACGTATAGACTTATTTTAAATTAAATAATAATAATTTCAAAGTCATTTTTTTAAAGGAATTTTAAAGTACAGTACTGGTAACTGTTTAAATTTATTATCGAATTATATGAGATAAATTCATTCTTCATCTACAGTAAAGGATATAAAGGAACTTGAGCTCTACTAGATTTTCGTGAAAAAAAAANAGAATAAAAAAAAATCAAATGTTTATGTGAAATTTTAGTAGGGTTAATTTTAATTGAGATAATTTCTGAAGTATGAACATTAATATCCATTCATTAATGATCTATTTTAAGAAATAAAGCAGAGTAATTGAAGGAGAAATGGGCGTTAGAAGAAAAATTTATTTATTAAAGTAGTCTTTACGCTATGCCAAATCATAAACAATAATTTGATAGTAAATATAATTTTACAGTATAAATTTTATTTTATATAAGTCTTATTTACTTAAATAATTTTGTGTCTTCCAATACAAATAAACAACTTCAGTATATTCTTAATATTGAAAACGTCCCTTCCTTAAGATTTATAGGGTATAGAAAAAAAGTTTGTAGGATATTAGATTATTAGAGTATAACGAAAGTGAAATAGGGTTTATAGGGTATTGGGGGTTGATAAAGTAATGTTATAACGAAAATAAACAGAATTAAAATATTGGGGGCTGTGAACGGCTCATGTATTTGTAAAATCTAAGTGACTCGTACAACATGGAATTCACATAAAACGGAATTATCAACAGTGTTATAGGGGGGTCGACTGGTATTTGTTTATACATATAATGTGTAACAATGATAAAGAGCATAGATTAATCATGAAAATAAGTTCGTTAGACCTGAAGTTTGTTGGATTATCAAATAATTAGAATTCATTTCTTCTTTCTCTTCGGTGCCATGTTTTATCTGTAAAAGAATAAATAATGATCAACGTAAATCCTCTAGTTTCAGGTCTCGGAGACCTTGTATAGTTCACTCGTTCTTTACAGCCTAAATAAGTAAATATAGTAATTATGAAATAATAAGTATATTATTTATTTTTATTTGTGTAAAAAAAGCAATAATGATCAACGTAAATCCTCTAGTTTCAGGTCTCGGAGACCTTGTATAGTTCACTCGTTCTTTACAGCCTAAATAAGTAAATACAGTAATTATGAAATAATAAGTATATTATTTATTTTTATTTGTGTAAAAAAAGCAATAATTATCAAATTAAATCAATTGTTTTCAAATTGACATTGAGAATGTACGGTATTGTAATGTAAATATAAAGTAATGTATTTTATAATTTATTTTTTAAGAAATAATGCAAATAATTTTAATAAATCCCTATAGTAAAGTATAAAATATAAGTTAATACGATACAAACTATTGCTTCGACACATAAGAATCGTTAATCTTTTATAAGAAATATTCAAAGTATTTAATAAAACTTCTTAATTAATAGACACTTGTATAGTTAAAAGTAATTAGTATATATGTGTGTGTGTGTGTGTGTGTGTTAGGAATTTAAAACACTTGATCGCAGATACGACCCTACTGCAGGCTATCTAATAATATAAGCTATAGCTTAGTTAAATATGTTGGACACCTAAGGCAAAATGTCTTGCCTTAAAAGGGTCTTCATTAGTTTCTGTTATTGCTTTTCTACACGTAAATAAGTGACTTAGACATTTGAATAAATAACTAATAGCACTAATTGTAGAAGAAGTAATATCGAATTTATTTGTCAATAAAAATTAATTACACGAATAATCTCGGAGAAGTAATCCTCTTCTCCCAAGAGAAAATTTGATTTATTTTATAAAACCCTATTTATAATTGTAATTATAAATAAATAATAATTATATTTATTAAAACTTCGAGTAAATTTATATGAAATAGATTTTAATACACCTGGACTGTGAAAATAAGTATATAATTTGGAATCATTACTTTATAAATTTACATTTTTAATGTGTGTGGCCCAATCTTCCTCATTATTTCGGCGACCCAATAATTTTCGACTGACCTTAGGGATAATATTTGTAACTTTATATTTGTGCCTAAATTATTCATAAAAGAAAACATTTTCTCGTTACTTTATTATCATTTTTGACACTTTTTTTTTAATCCTTCACTCATAAATACATATATACAAGAAATATATATATATATATATATATGCAAGAATAATAATGATTTTCTCTGTTATATATACGCGTATACATAGTATTATAGCCTATATTATATCTAATATTAATTGACTAAGCAAAATAATAGTCTATAGTTTATTGTTTTTACTCCACTAAATTCTCAAGTCAACTTTAGAACCACAATTCACTTTCTACATCGGTATCGAAATTTCTATACCTTAGACTCTTAGAACACCATTAAACTAATTAATAAATTATATTATTAGATGTTAACATATGTATAAACTTACAAATAAGTTAAGCAATCATTAATACTTCTTATTTTTTTTTTCAAACTGGTCATCTCAATATATCTTCTCAGATAAGAAAAATGTATTAAAATATTTAATTAATAATTATTTTCAAAAATCTACATATCAGTTAGGACCTAGTAAAATTGGGCTCTTAAGTTTTGGATTAAAAATCGATATTATTTAGCTTATACAATTAAAAATATCGAGTTAAGTAAGTAGCTTACTATTCAGTATCATAGTAACTATCGTTGATTCTTACGAAGGAAATATTGGTGTATAGATTTATGCTTAGAGATTGCTTCCCCATTTGTCGGCTACTTTTGTCCAGTGAAGCAAGAACAACCCCAGACTAGTAAAAAAATATGTTTTTCTAAACACAAAAACTCATTTACCATCGCATCATTAACGACTCACAAATGCGTGGCCGGATCCAACTTAGGGAGGTGAATTGCTATCGAGGCATTCATCAAGTATAATATGAAACTGGTAAGTTATACAAAATTTCTTAAACCAAAAAATTGGTAAGTAGTTGATCCTTGTAGATTAACAAGAAGTAACGATTTAACGGTAAGAAATGTTAAATTATCATTAAGAAGGAAAAGATGTGACGTAAACAGCTGTGTCAAGTTGATGACAAATGTACCATGATATTCAACACTAACTTGTTGCAAATAATGACTTTAATATCTTGTATACAAGGATGTAAATATAGTTTGCTTGTAGCAAATAATATCTTGGATGAACTTTATAAGAATAAAAAAAAATCAAATGTTTATGTGAAATTTTAGTAGGGTTAATTTTAATTGAGATAATTTCTGAAGTATGAACATTAATATCCATTCATTAATGATCTATTTTAAGAAATAAAGCAGAGTAATTGAAGGAGAAATGGGCGTTAGAAGAAAAATTTATTTATTAAAGTAGTCTTTACGCTATGCCAAATCATAAACAATAATTTGATAGTAAATATAATTTTACAGTATAAATTTTATTTTATATAAGTCTTATTTACTTAAATAATTTTGTGTCTTCCAATACAAATAAACAACTTCAGTATATTCTTAATATTGAAAACGTCCCTTCCTTAAGATTTATAGGGTATAGAAAAAAAGTTTGTAGGATATTAGATTATTAGAGTATAACGAAAGTGAAATAGGGTTTATAGGGTATTGGGGGTTGATAAAGTAATGTTATAACGAAAATAAACAGAATTAAAATATTGGATTATCATAAATTAAGCATTTCCATATTTATATTAGACCTATAAATTAAATTTATATTTAAAAATAAAGTACAGAATATATTATTTAAATCTCCAAAAATTATAAATTTATGTTTAATTTTCTTATTTTAATAAATTATGATTTAGTATACGTGATTTTGACTATTTTTTTAAATCGATTTTGTGTGGCTAATGAGAAAAAAAAATTAAAAGTTAAGTAAACGTGTTTCGTTAGTCAAGCACGAATAATAAAAAGAGAGAATTCAATACTCGGATCAAAATTGAAAATGTCTGTGATAATGAGAGTAAAATAGAGAAAAAACAACAGTAAAAGTTTATTCCTTCTTAATGCAAAAAAGAAAAGAAAGAAAACAAGAAGCAAAGCGGTAAAATCTGATGACATCAAATAATAAAACTTGATTGATGTTAGCTAAAAATAATTTTTACAAGACCTTAATCTTAAATTTTTTATCCTTTTTCTTTACATCTAAAGTTAACTATTCGAAGATAAAATAGTAATTAATTAACGTTTCGATTATTTAAAATGGATATATTTTAAAATAAATAGAATTTTTAAATGTATAACAAAGGAAAAAAGTTATTTAACCCTTTATAAAAAGAAAAGAGAAATGATAGAAATCTATTTAATGATAGAATGCAATCTGGTAAACTTAATGACACAAAGCTAATTAGAAAAGATCGCATCGCGTTACGTTCGTCGGAGCATAACGCTGAACGTAATAATCACAGAGAACGTAACCTTAACATCGTCGTTGGCTATCAAGTGTGACAACTTGTCATTCCCATGGTGTTAAGGTTAACCAAAATAATTGAGAATAACAGTATGCACCTATTTTATGAGTAGTTTGACTGTAACGTTAATTACTCTAAACGTGTTTGCTCTACTCTCATAAATTACTTAATATTAGCTCTCATTTAATAGGTTAATGGTAAATATTATAATAATTTGCTCGGATTTTAACTTCATTTATTATTTATTACTTTTAAAATCAAATTAATGTTATTTTTAAATGGAAAATTTCTCCTAATATGCCTTTCTTTTTATACACATGATTAAATTTTAATTATTTTTTTTTATGTAAAGAATAGAAAATATGATTAAATTCTAACTTTATAGAAGTGTTTTAAACTAAATTAAGTGCAAAAATATCGTATTAAACCATTAGATCTTTGCATTTTAGATATATTTTACCTTTCGATTCTATATAAAATAACTTTTCTAATACATCTTTTAATACAAAATACAATAATTTTGGAGTGGGGCCAATGAATAAATTAAAATTTTTTAAAGCTTAGATCTACTTTTAAATAATTCAAAAGTTTCAAAACTAGTATTTTATATTCAACACACCGTATAATTATAATAGACGAATAATTTTCATTTATTTTTTTAATATATTTTTTTTTTTTTTTTTGCTTATTCTTCTGCAGCTAATCTCATCATTTTTCATTTATAATTATTATCACAATACGTTATAAATTATTCTAAATACTCTTAAATTACTACAGATAATAAATAAAAGGATTAATGATTGTCATTATAACTAATTATTTGAATACCGCTTATAGATATTATATTGAAAATAATTCGAGTAGATATAATAGTTAAACGTTACAGAACAATGAGATATTTTATATTCATAGAAGAAAATTAAAAATTATCCATCTGTGAGACTTTTCTCTTAAGAAAAACACATTTTTTGGATCAAAGATAACCGCCGATGTGTTGTTTTGGTGTTTCTTCAAGTTTCATTTCCTGTTTAGAAAATAATTACAAGCCCTTGTTCTTCTATCCGATACAATGGTCTTCTAATTAAAAACTACCTATAAAAACAAACAAAAAAAAAAAAATACATTCCCAATATGTTATTTTTCAAAGAATTTATTTCAATGCTAGAAAAAATCTCGTTTGATGTAATTTCTTAGTATTTTTTTTTCAGTCTAGACTTAATAATCTTTTGTGTTGTGGCTTTATTAAATACATAAAAAACATTAAATTAAAATTAATTAATTAAATGGCCTAAAAGTCAGATAACCAAAGACAGAATTGCTTCCCTTATTAAAATATTTTATCACTTACAAACTATACATGGTATTCTTATTCTTTAGTACGTATTTTTAACTCTTTGAAGAGTTATATTAAAACTTTTTAAAAAAAATCTTTTTACAACTTGTTCGAGGATTCATACAGTTAACTGATTTTTGATATTTTTTATTATTATTTTTATATAATCTTCATGACGCTTGTAAACACGAACGTTCAAGTTATGAGGGCGAAATAATTAATTGCCCTCCCAAATTCCGGCAAAACAGTGGGCAAAGCAAGGATAAAAAAAGGTTAACAAATTATTCGCGATGGCAAATTAAAAACTGATATTTTGTATTTTTATTTGTGTATAGTTTTAGAAAAATCAACCTCTCTGCCCTCTTAACCAAAGTGTTCCCATACGCCCATAATTGTAGATGCAACTAAGAATTTATATTGCCTTTAGCTATACTATCCCACTATATACTTAATGAAGCTGTTATTAATAATTTACTACTATGTAGCCTACTTATTTTACCTGTTTTATAACAAATTTCGTATTTTTCATACTGTTTCATTCATCCTGTCTGCTCAATACTTTACTGGGACCGTCTCTCCTCTTTCTTATCCTCTTTCTCATCTCCTCACTCTCTTGTTTTCTTGATCATAGATCCTTGAATAAGTTCTACCCTCTAATAATAAATTTACATACGACTTCCTACTTTAATGAACAATTTTATATGATAATGATAATGACGAAAAATATATTTATAAATTTATTTTCATCAATCATCGTCATTTACTATTCACTTATAAAAAATTATAAATAGAATAATTTTAGGATAATTCATTTATTTTTACTTTAAAGGAGGTGATTTTTTTATTGTAGAAACACATTAATAATTATTATGTCTTTTATTATGCCCTTTATCACTAATAATATAGTTAAAATCTAAATTATATGAATTTAATTATTTGCTCTAACTGAAACTATTATTTTCATCTTTAAATATAAACAAAAATTAATGTCATCGTCATACATCTTCCGATAATAAATTATATAAGAAGCAATGTTGAAAGTCATTATTAAATAATGAATTTCATCATCGTTTAAATGACTTTTCAATAATATTTTATACTGCAATGAATCTAAAATTATTTCGAGTCATCATCTTCTGTTTGCCAAATTCTAATACATATATAAATTTTATTCAGATGCATTTCATCTAGCCTAAATTTTGAGCTATTTACTAATGAAAATTTGATAAAACTTCTTTTATCGTGCTTTTTGTTTGTAGGAATAAGTTAATTTATAAATTTTGTAGTGTCTCAAAAAGTTCACATAGAGTCAGAAGGGTCACTCGTAGAGGCATGGTTCCTTTTGTCTTTTTTGTTCCTATAAATATTCTCTACAGCTCTGTTAAAATCCCAATCGTAGGCTATCATTCAGAGCTCGGATTGAGCCCAGTAGGCTACTGTACAGTACATAACAAGTAATTATGCCTACTGAAACTCCCAGAAACTTATTAAAGCGAGAAATTATACTCTAAATTCTAGAAAAATTACTACAAACAACAAAAGCAATTACTATCTATAAAGTATTTAATTTACTTAATAATTTGTAATATAATTTTAGAAAATTCCTGCATAATTATATTATTCAAACGTCTCTAATGTTCTAATATGTTTTGATGTGTAATAATAATAATAAAAAAAGTGTAAATTAATTTGATGAAAGTTTATATTTTATTTAAAATACAATACAATATGTTAATTAACGTCATAAACATAATAAATATGATAGATTATATAGAAGATATGAATAAGCAAAAACCATTTTTATAAGTAAATACATTTAAATCTTTTATAAATTTAAAGGGAAAAATGTTTTAAAATATTTAAAATTTCTCATAAAAATTAGGTGAAATTATAAGGTCATAATAATTATTTGAATAAAGATTACTTGATTTATTGAAAGTCTACATTATACAACTAATATTATGATATATTTTATTTATAATATTAAAATAAAATCCATAAATAAAAAAATAATTAGAAGGTCTCATGATAAGAATTGAAAATCTCAATTTTTATAAAGACTATATTCTATAGGATAATCTTAGATAAGAAATCTATTTAAGTATTTCTCAGTTCATATCATTTAAAAGTTTAATTATATTTAAATGGTTAAAAAAAATAAAAAATAAAAAATATAGCAAATATTATTACTATTATAAACTCTTCCTTTATTTTATATGAAATTGTGGCTATTTATATAGACTTACAATGTATAGTAAATAATTACAGCTTTTTCTTTAAAAACCTAAATATATATAATAATAATAATAATATAAATGAATGTCCAGTAACAATATATTTCTTTATTTAAAAATTATTTATTTAGAAATAAACTTTACTATTGATTATTTTGTTAAATCTCTTTCTCTACAGTGTATAGTAATTTGCTATTATTTAGATTAAAATATAAAATTATTTTAGTATAATTTATGAAAAAAATATTTTAAAAAATTTATATTTAATAAAGTTATAATTTACTAAATTTATTTAAATACAGGAAAGGAACCAGATCCAGACAGGGCAATTAAGAAATTGTTAAGAATGAAGTTGTCAAGTACTCATGTTAGATTAATAGGAGAGAAACTTTAATTAAGTAACATGAAGATATTATCGGCATTTAATGGGTTAATTAATGGGAAAATATGCCAAAAGTTGCTTATATCGCATATATATTAAGTAAAATAGCCATAAATTATAAAAGAACGAAAACTCGATAAAGTCAAGTTTGATGCTTTTAACAAGACTTAAATTATGGCCAATATTTTCATATTTATCAAACGTATTAAATTATTCAATTTAAAATAAATAATTTGATTTTTAAATTAAACGTTTTACTTATGTTATTTGATATTTTATTTTAATTAATTGACGTCGAAGTATTTTAACAACTGTATATAATGCATTGGAGTATTTTTATTTGCAAAATAAATTTTAATTAATTGTTAATATTTATTTAATGCTTAAAAAATAAAACGCATATGTATTTTTTTTATTAATTAATGATATAGTCCCAATACATAACTCTAAATTTAGATTTTAAAATCTATTATATTAGACTTACCTTTTAATTTTTTTTTTATAAACGAAACGTGCACTAGATGCCGCCACATATAATTGAATTCGTTTTTCGATTTTGATTTAACGTTTTTCTTTTCGTTTTTTAAATTGTTGCCATAATCCTTTATACGTGAAAAGAAAATAACAATTAAAATATTATTTTTAAACATTTAATTAGAATTTAATAAATGAAAATATATAATTATCTTCCTATCTTAATTCAAGGGTTTCAAATGCTTTTTCTGTTAAATAGTATAAAATTTAGCATATAAATTCATAATGATAAAATACTAGACTTGATATTAAAGTAATTTACTTATGAAAAAAAATAAAATTTAGCAACGTATAATTTATAGTCTATAATACAGTCTTGTAAATTGGATTTCTTTAATTAGCTTTAGCATATAATATCAAAAAGGAGGACACGTCCTACATTTTCTCTATAAAGTCCTCTCTTTGTTCAAACATACTTATAATGTCTTCCAGAATATTTTGTCTTCTATTGGTAAATATACGTGTAATAAAAACAATAGTACTGTATAATTAAAAATGAAACTTTAAGCTTTCTTGTGTTAAAGAAAAATATAATAGTCTTTTAAAAAACCGTGTTAAGAATATCTGTAGTGAAACAGTAATGGTTCCTCTACATTAAACAGAAAATAATAACCATTTACAGTGTTATATTCTCAGTTACCATTACTTTTTCCTTTTCTGTTTTCGATGAATTAACATATAAATTTACATTTGCATATTTTTCATTTTTTACGATTTCTGTACCGATGATTTTATCAGGAAAAATTCATAAAAATTGATGAAAATAAAGATAAGAAAATGACTGGATCTTTATAAGAGATTATATCTTTAATTAGTACTTAATCTTATATCATTATACTACAATACAATATAAAGTTTAATTACTATAAAAAAAAATATGTTGTACCTCTTTAATTTTAATGTTTCATATATCAAGGAGACAGTTTGATTAGTTTTAAATTAATTCATTATATTGTTTCCTTAATTTAATTCTCATAAAATATTTTTATTAGAAAATTTATTATAGTTTTATAAAAACTAAAAAAAAAAGATTTACAAGTTTCTGAGAGGAATTTTCTTTGTATTTATCACAGAAAATACCAAAAAAAAATCCACACAATTTTTTGAAATTTTGTGAAAATTTACTTGTAAATTTAATTATATATATGGAATGATGTATTTAAAAAGTTTAATTTAAAAAAATTATTTAAAAAATACCTTAAATTATTGTAAAAAATCGTAATAATAGTTTAAATTTTAGTAATTCTAATTGTATACGCGACAGTATTCTGTGTTTATGAAGAGTCCGGGTTCGATTTTGATTCGGATCTTCGTGTTAAGACTAATTTAATCTCTAATTTCAGTCATGAATTTGTTCTTCATTCATGCAGATAATTCTATTGTCAGTCGAACTCATATCTAATAAGTTAAATTGAAGTCGGCGGTACAGTACAGCTTATATAGAGAACAGTGGGAAACGATCAATTTTATCTTTCCTATTTAATTCATTTTCTAATGATTTCTATTGATAAATAATGATAAAAACGAGTGTCTTCTGTTAATTAAAATACAAATAAAATGTTATAGAAATAAAATTTCTAGAATGTAGAATTTATTCTTAAATAATATTACTGGCGCCATCTCTTGGGCAAAAATAATATCTGTATATTATTATTTTTCGGACGAAGAGTTTAAGTGTCTCCATCTAGTGTTAAAATAAAAAAAAACGTGTCATAAAAATTCAAAGAAAATCATAAAATAAAATTAACAATTCAGATAATTTGTAATTTTTTTTTTTTGTTTTTAAATGATTTCCTTTTCTTAGTGAGAAACAGTTTCCTTATTTTAAGTAGTAATTATAAGTTTAATTGATTATTCTAAGTCCTTTAATTAGGAGGAGCCGAAGCGAGAGTGCGAGCCCCGGGACACGAAAACGTCACCTGTTATCATAATGGGAACCATTTTAATATTGATGGAGTTTGCNTAATACAGTCTTGTAAATTGGATTTCTTTAATTAGCTTTAGCATATAATATCAAAAAGGAGGACACGTCCTACATTTTCTCTATAAAGTCCTCTCTTTGTTCAAACATACTTATAATGTCTTCCAGAATATTTTGTCTTCTATTGGTAAATATACGTGTAATAAAAACAATAGTACTGTATAATTAAAAATGAAACTTTAAGCTTTCTTGTGTTAAAGAAAAATATAATAGTCTTTTAAAAAACCGTGTTAAGAATATCTGTAGTGAAACAGTAATGGTTCCTCTACATTAAACAGAAAATAATAACCATTTACAGTGTTATATTCTCAGTTACCATTACTTTTTCCTTTTCTGTTTTCGATGAATTAACATATAAATTTACATTTGCATATTTTTCATTTTTTACGATTTCTGTACCGATGATTTTATCAGGAAAAATTCATAAAAATTGATGAAAATAAAGATAAGAAAATGACTGGATCTTTATAAGATATTATATCTTTAATTAGTACTTAATCTTATATCATTGTACTACAATACAATATAAAGTTTAATTACTATAAAAAAAAATATGTTGTACCTCTTTAATTTTAATGTTTCATATATCAAGGAGACAGTTTGATTAGTTTTAAATTAATTCATTATATTGTTTCCTTAATTTAATTCTCATAAAATATTTTTATTAGAAAATTTATTATAGTTTTATAAAAACTAAAAAAAAAAGATTTACAAGTTTCTGAGAGGAATTTTCTTTGTATTTATCACAGAAAATACCAAAAAAAAATCCACACAATTTTTTGAAATTTTGTGAAAATTTACTTGTAAATTTAATTATATATATGGAATGATGTATTTAAAAAGTTTAATTTTAAAAAATTATTTAAAAAATACCTTAAATTATTGTAAAAAATCGTAATAATAGTTTAAATTTTAGTAATTCTAATTGTATAAGCGACAGTATTCTGTGTTTATGAAGAGTCCGGGTTCGATTTTGATTCGGATCTTCGTGTTAAGACTAATTTAATCTCTAATTTCAGTCATGAATTTGTTCTTCATTCATGCAGATAATTCTATTGTCAGTCGAACTCATATCTAATAAGTTAAATTGAAGTCGGCGGTACAGTACAGCTTATATAGAGAACAGTGGGAAACGATCAATTTTATCTTTCCTATTTAATTCATTTTCTAATGATTTCTATTGATAAATAATGATAAAAACGAGTGTCTTCTGTTAATTAAAATACAAATAAAATGTTATAGAAATAAAATTTCTAGAATGTAGAATTTATTCTTAAATAATATTACTGGCGCCATCTCTTGGGCAAAAATAATATCTGTATATTATTATTTTTCGGACGAAGAGTTTAAGTGTCTCCATCTAGTGTTAAAATAAAAAAAAACGTGTCATAAAAATTCAAAGAAAATCATAAAATAAAATTAACAATTCAGATAATTTGTAATTTTTTTTTTTTTTGTTTTTAAATGATTTCCTTTTCTTAGTGAGAAACAGTTTCCTTATTTTAAGTAGTAATTATAAGTTTAATTGATTATTCTAAGTCCTTTAATTAGGAGGAGCCGAAGCGAGAGTGCGAGCCCCGGGACACGAAAACGTCACCTGTTATCATAATGGGAACCATTTTAATATTGATGGAGTTTGCCAACAGAATTATGATCAGTTGACCATCTGTCGACAGATGGATGATAATAAACTAGTTTTCCGCTCTAATTAGTACAGAAAACTTTCGGAGAAAGAGTAAATCATTTAGAAGATTTCATTCTTGTACATTCTTGTAACTTTCTCTTCAGGCTAATTTCATATTTTTCCCTAAATTACAGAAAAGTAGCGTATTAATTCAACAAATGGTATTAAATTTTCTGTTTTAATTTTTAATAAAACAATTTTTAAACTATTTTACTTGCATGTCTGTTAATGTGGGGAATTAAACCTACACAAAAAAAAACCTTTACTGAATTGTTAAATATTCGTTAATGTATAAATAAATGGATAATAATAAAACGAAATTAAATAATAATAAATAAAATGTTTAATTTATTGATTTGCAATGAGTTCTTTCAACAGCAACAATAGAAAAGTAACGTAAATATAGCAAATCAATGATAATTTTTTTTGGATTTATAACATAAATTTATGAAAATTCATAATATAAAAAATATTTTTTAAATGATAAAATCGTATATTTTAAAATTATAATGTTAAAAAAATGAAAATTTACAATAGAATATACGCAACTTCAGTTATTCGTGGTCCATAAAAATCAATGTATACGTAAAAATTATTCGTAAATTATTAATATAAAAATATTATGGTATGCTATAAATATATACCCATATACTGTATACATTTCTTTAATTACAGAAGAGAAATTTAAGATATATCCTCCAGAAAATATACAAAAGAAAAAAAAAGTTTGATATTTTATTCATTTAAAATAAGAGAATAATGATAAATATAACTTGTGAACATCTGCAGTTATTGAGGTTAATCAACTCTATTAATATGGATTAATTTACTGGTTTAGGCCATTGAAGAGTCTTCGTTAACGTTGCCAAAATTCAATATTAAGATCTGGTCTAATAAATAATAAAATAAAGTGATTATAAGTTTACAAGCAGAAATACATAGAATTTTTAAAAATTTGCTTTAAATTTGTATTAAAAATATTTCTAAAATTTATTAAGATAATGTTAATATATAGAAGATTATAGCAGCAATTTTTTTTAACATCCAGGCTATTCTGAACAGTATATATGT